ACGCTCTACTAAATCAGTTCCTCTTGGGCCTACGGGAGCCCAACCTCCGGAGGAAGCTGGTCAGCCAAGACAACCTGGATCTCGACAAAGCGATCCGGGAGGCCACCACATACGAGAAGGCCCATAAAGACCGCTGCACTGAGGTGATCCACCGCACACAAGCGACTGTTGGTTCCGACGTCTCAGATGAGGAAGAGGTCCTGCAGGTCCGCCACTAGTCGTCTCAGCACTCTCATCAATTGTCTGGATCCACCTCAGGCAAGGCTTCATCAGCTCCCTCGTCTGCTTGTGCCAGCTGCGGGGAAGCTTATGAGTGGCAGTCGTGCCGCTTCAGGGATGCGGTCTGCAGATCATGCAACAAGGCAGGCCACATAGCCCGAGTCTGTCGCTCTCAGGGAAAGCATCAGAAGGCTTCGACGCACCAGCCCAAACTTCCCTCCGACCTCAACATGATCGTGAACCACCAGCAGCAGCACCAGGTCAGTAACTTGCCCCCTAATAGCCCCAAAGTGTACGTAACGGTGTTAATAGAGGGGTTCCCCTGTAGCATGGAAATAGACTCCGGGTCCTCCTTCTCCATCATTTTGGTGGAGATGCTACACTCTCTTTGCCCAAGGGGGGGACTCCTCCTGCAAAAGCCACAGGGTCTCAACTTGCAGGACTTTAACAAGAATCCTGTGGTGATCCAGGGCTGGGGCAAGTTTAAGGTGCAGTTCCAGGACTTCTGCGGGCAATTAGACTTGCTGGTGCTGGAGGGTAAAGTCTCCAGTCTGCTGGGCCTTTCCTGGTTCAGGCCCCTGGGACTTACGATTACTGGGGTGAACCAGATTCAGCCGCCGGACTTTACTGCTGTTTGCGAGGAATTCCCTAGGGTATTCGATGGGACTCTGGGGCGGTACACTGGGGGCCCCATTTCTCTGGACCTTGACCCCAACATCTGGCCCATCCACATAAAGGCCCTTCTTCCCCCGCTAGCTATGAAGCCTAAAATTGAGGCGGAGCTCGATCGCCTGGTTGAGCAGGGGGTGCTGGAACCGGTTGCGTCTGCACGATGGGAGACCCTCATCGTCATGCCGGTAAAGCCGAACGGGGACGTGCATATATGTGCTGATTATAAATGCATGATAAACAAAGCCCTACAGGACCATGCTTACCCGTTTCTGGTGGTAAGCCATGTCTTGGCCACTTTGGCTGGGGCACAGATTTTTGGTAAGCTAGATTTGGCTCAGGCCTACCAGCAGTTACCGGTCAATGCAGCCTCTGCGGAGGCACAAACAATAGCTACGCACAGCGGGGCGTTTAAAGTAACTAGGCTACAATTTGGAGTGTGTGTGGCCCTGGGAATCTTTCAATCTTTTATGGATTCCCTGCTCAAAGGCATCCCAGGAGTACAGCTGTTTTTAGATGATGTGATCATCACGGCACTGGGCCCCGCCACCTTCGCAGATCGGCTCCGGGCAGTGCTTCAGAGGTTCAATTCCGCCGGCCTCAAGGTAAAGAAATAAAAGTGCCTCCTTGGGGTGCCCCACATTGAGTTTCTGGGGTTTGCTGTGGATGCCCAAGTGATCCACCCCACAGACGATAAGATTAAAGTGATCACGCAGGCCCCCCCCTTCTTCCAAACCAGAACTGCAGGCTTTCTTGGACTTACTCAATTTTTACCATGCTTTTCTGCCCCTGAAAGCCGCGGTGGTGGAACCGCTCCACCACCTCCTGGACAAGAACGCTCCTTGGGCCTGGGGGCCCACGCACGCCATGGCTTTCCGGGGGGTCAAGAACTTGCTGACTTCAAGTTCCGGACAACCAGGAGGTTCTAGTCAACTACTATTCATGGACCTGTCACCAGCGGAGCGCAATTACGCACAAATTGACAAGAAGGTGCTGGCGATAGTGGCGGGCATAAAAAATTCCACCACTATCTCTATGGGCAGCCCTTTACACTGGTGACGGACCATAAACCCCTCCTGGGTCTCCTGGCCCCCGACCGTCAGACACCACAGATGGTTTCTCCCAGGGTCCTGCATTGGTCCATTTTTATGGCCTGCTACAACTACGCGCTCATCCATTGGCCTGGTACAGCCATGGGGCACGCGGACGCTCTGAGCCACCTTCCACTGCCCGCCATGGACCCCGATCTGGCCCCAGCCCACATGGTCACCCTCTTGGAAGCCCATCCCAATTGCCCGGTTCATGTGTGGGAGGTCGCCCGCCTCACGACCAGGGACAAGGTTCTCTGTCAGGTCTTGGACTGGGTGGGGAGGGGGTGTCCTGTGGCCAAAGAGGGTCCTGAATTCATGCCATTTGTCTCAAGGAAAGACGAGTTGTCAGTGTACAAAGGTTGCCTGATGTGGGGAGGTCAGGTGATGATCCCAGCCCCACTCCAACAACGAGTCATAGTGGCGCTGCATGAGCACCACCCCAGGGCTGTGAGGATGAAGGCGCTGGCGAGAAGCTACGTCTGGTGCTCGGGGCTGGATTGGGACATTGAGGACAAGGTAAAAAGATGTCAACCCTGCCAAGCCTCATGCCCAGACCCGCCCAGGGCCCCGGAGAGGGCCTGGGAATCCTTGCACCGCCCCTGGTCTCGGCTCCACCTCGACTTTGCGGGGCCGTTCCAGGGACAGTTGTTTTTCATTCTGGTTGACGCATATAGTAAGTGGCTGGAGGTAGTACCTGTACCATCAACCTCTTCGAAATCCGCCATCAAAGCCATGTGGTGGATCTTCAGTGCCCAGGGCATCCCGGACACCCTGGTGACAGATAACGGAACTGCCTTCACGTCAGGAGAGTTCCAGGAGTTCACCAGTTATTATGGAATCCGCCACATCCGCTCGGCCCCGTTCCACCCCGCCACCAACCGACAGGCCGAACACAAGGTGAGGACCACAAAAGATGTGCTTCGCCGGCTAGAACAAGGTAAAAAAATGTCAACCCTGCCAAGCCTCATGCCCAGACCCGCCCAGGGCCCCGGAGAGGGCCTGGGAATCCTTGCACCGCCCCTGGTCTCGGCTCCACCTCGACTTTGCGGGGCCGTTCCAGGGACAGTTGTTTTTCATTCTGGTTGACACATATAGTAAATGGCTGGAGGTAGTGCCTGTACCATCAACCTCTTCAAAATCTGCCATCAAAGCCATGTGGCGGATCTTCAGTGCCCAGGGCATCCCGGACACCCTGGTGATGGATAACGGAACTGCCTTCACGTCAGGAGAGTTCCAGGAGTTCACCAGTTATTATGGAATCCGCCACATCCGCTCGGCCCCGTTCCACCCCACCACCAACCGACAGGCCGAACACATGGTGAGGACCACAAAAGATGTGCTTTGCCAGCTAGATGCGAGGGACTGGGACTATTAGCTGGCATCTTTCCTCTTTGGCCAAAGAACCACCGTGCACACCACCACAGGCCATAGCTCAGCTGAGCTGCTCATGGGCAGACGTCTCACCACAAGACTGGACCGCCTCCACTCAGATTGAGCGGCCGAGCGAGAGCCCGATATCAAATCACCAAAAGCTGCCCAAGGTTTCTTCCCGGAGGACCCAGTGTATGCACGGAACTTCACTAAGCCCCCCTCCCCTGGATTCTGGCGAGAGTGGTGAGAGTAAAAGGAACCCACTCCTACGAGGTTTCCAGCGAGGATGGTCAAATTTTTCACCACCACATCGACCAGCTCTGTCAGCGGGCGCTGCCGGCCACATCCGCTCGGCCCCGTTCCACCCCACCACCAACCGACAGGCCGAACACATGGTGAGGACCACAAAAGATGTGCTTTGCCAGCTAGATGCGAGGGACTGGGACTATTAGCTGGCATCTTTCCTCTTTGGCCAAAGAACCACCGTGCACACCACCACAGGCCATAGCTCAGCTGAGCTGCTCATGGGCAGACGTCTCACCACAAGACTGGACCGCCTCCACTCAGATTGAGCGGCCGAGCGAGAGCCCGATATCAAATCACCAAAAGCTGCCCAAGGTTTCTTCCCGGAGGACCCAGTGTATGCACGGAACTTCACTAAGCCCCCCTCCCCTGGATTCTGGCGAGAGTGGTGAGAGTAAAAGGAACCCACTCCAACGAGGTTTCCAGCGAGGATGGTCAAATTCTTCACCACCACATCGACCAGCTCCATCAGCAGGCGCTGCCGCTGGAGCCAGAAGACCTCGAGGAACCAGACACCTCCAATACTGCAGAGCTACCAGCCGCTAACCCCGTTCCCCAGGACGCTGCTCCCAGCCTATCGACAGCCCACCAGCTGCTGGAGACAGCTGAGGTACCCCACGACCCTGTCCAGGCTGCGATCACTCCACTGCTGGCACTGGTCCTGGCTGTGACACTGGCACTGCTGCGAACACTCCCCGGTGCTGGCACTGGTCCTGGCTGTGACAAGGATTCGACGGTCCACACGGGAATGTAAGACACCGGCGTATCTCAAGGACTTTGTGTGTGGGTGTATCCGGACCAAGGGGGGAGGGGTGCAATGTATTCAGTCCTGACCGCATAGCACCCGGGGACTCCACGTGGTCCTGCTAAACCTCAGAGCTTCGCTCCAGCGAACAATGGATTAAGCGGGTCCTAGCCTGCACCAATCCGAGGGCTAGCCTCTCGGCCGAGAGCCCATGGCACTCTCGGCCACTGTAAATAGCCTATTACAGTGTAGGCTTGTGTTTTGGGGGGGTGATTTTCACGGAATATAAGCCGGCCTTAGAGCTGGCTAAAGTTGTCTTGTTTTTCACTAATAAAAGTATGAAAGCTGTAATCACTCGTCAATCTAAATACTTTTCACCTTTCAAAAAGTTTGTCCCACCATTACTTGTGATACTTTACAAAAGTATGGAGTGTGCATCTTTAGCATGAATTTTATGTTCCAAATGTACCAACTCTGCAACTCTCAGCTGTTCCTGATTCTAAATATGGAGTTCCAGGAAATACATATAGGCTCAGATGATAACCGGCAGATTCTTGTCCCTATTCTTTCACCACATTCAGTAAAGTGAGACAATCTCTCACCTTTCCAGGAGCACACATGGTTCCATCCAATGGAGGTCCCTTCTTTGTTTTGCAGAAATAAGGGTTATCAGGATGGCTACACCATAGCTGTTTGCAAGGATCAAAGGTACGGAACTGGAAGAAAAGAACATGTGCTCATAAATTGCATCTGGAAAAAATATTAATATTTGCATTACATGAACAAAACAGTCGGAAAAATATAAAGAAAAGGCTTCTTGGAAAACTTTAACATAACACTCTGTTATCAATAGTTTTGTTGGTGATCCCGTAGACTGTTTTGAGGTTAAAAAGGCATAAATAATAGCCACTAGGTCAGGTTTGGGTAAATGAGGGACGCTCAACCTTACTTCAAGGGATTGGCAAAAGTCAGTTCTGAATAGCTCTGTAACTTGGTTTGGAGCCGGTGTACATCTAGGGCTACAACCCTGATGGCTCAAGGCAGCCTGAACACCAACTGTGTATTGCTTTCCCCTGCCACTTAATATCAATTCAATAATGTCCACATTCAATCTCAGCTAGCTCCCTTGCATCCAGCCCACTCCTCCACTGGCTAGATACTATGCACGCACTAAGACGGCAATGATGAAAAAGAGAGCATGTCATCAGCACTCCTAATGCAGTATTTGGTCAGCATTCCTGCACAGGAATGACAAGTTAGGGTCTGTTCTGATGGCTCTTAGGATGCAGTAAACATAGGTTCAGATTACAGATCAATACCAGTGACTTTAGAAATTCAAAAGAGAAGCAGATTGGAGATTTTCAGTGCACAGGCACAAGCAGAATCTTTCACTCACGACCAGGACAAATAGTGTTTATAATACTCATCAACACAGAAGTGGTTGGAATCCAACTCTTCTTGCACTAGACTGATCTTAACAAAGCTTAAAGTGTGCTACTGCTCATATATACATGATAAATGGAACATATTTGTCATACAAAAAGACCTGAAAGCCATCTGTTTTGCCCCATACACTTCACTAAATGGAAACACAGCTTGTAAAACTGGTCTCATACATCCAATAAAACAGAAACAATAGACAAGCAGTGACAACAAGTAGGGTAGGTTCTAACTTGAAGTGTTGCTTGTTCTCCCCTCTTTGTTGTTTTATACTTCAGGATTAGGACATTCACATTATAATCCATAGTTTCTATTGCTTTAGTGTAGTTAGGACCAGTGTTCCCTCTAAGCTCACAGTTTTTTAGCCTCTGGCTCACACATTTCTGTCTTCACTCAGGAAGGATGGCTCCAGAGCAGACTAATTTATGCAGTAGCCAATGCCTCACTCACAACTTTGATGCCGGTAGCCCACAAAGTAGAATTTTTGTTCACAGGACTCCACAGTTTAGAGGGAACACTTAGGACTTATGAAATGACATAGTGTGAGTTCTGTGAACAAAACTCCCAGTGTGATTCCCTCCTCCCCACCCTTCAGGCATGGGGAAAGGATCGTCTCAGATTGGGTCTCCTGGGTGAGGGGAGGTTAAACATTCCCACTGTAATGAAAAGGACTTGGAAATTACTTTGTCTCTTTTACAGCAGATTCATCTTTACTTTATATCATATAGAAATGGCTTTAAAACACTGATAATCTATTCTACGCTTTGGTGGTTAAAAATCTAAATAATTATCTAAATAGTATAAGTATCAGTGAAGGAGATGATCTTTAAGATAATCATAGGACTAAAACACCACAGTTCCCCTCCCCTTCTTTGTGTGCACATACAGGTAGGCTGAGGAATCAGAAGCATGTGCGGAATTCTTATATCTCTATCTGGCCATTCCCTCCATCTGGTCAAGTTAGCAAGTATCTACATTAAATACCTTTATCATATTTATGATAATTTGCCAATCCAAGTCTTGAATCACCTGAGTTATACCAAGGTCTAAAATAGGATTTGGGGGGAATAGAACGGAAGGGGGGAAGTGCTTCTATGATAAAAAGCGATTCTGCATTTAGCATTCACTCCACATTCCAGAAGAGGGCAACCAGGATGGTGAGAGGGTTGGAATCCAAGTCTTATGAGGAAAGACTGAAAAAGTTGGGTATGTTTAGCCTGGGAAAGAGAAGGCGTAGAGGGGACATGATTGCAGTGTTCAAGTATTTGAAGGGCTGTCATGTATTGCTCCGGATTGCAAGACTAGATCTAATGTGTGGAAATTACCGGCTAAATATCAGGAGAAACTTCCTAACTGTAAGAGTGGTTGAGCAGTGGAACAGGAGGTGGTAGATGCTCCTTTGCTGGATATTTTCAAGCAGAGGCTGGACGACCATTTTCCGGGAATGTTGTAGGTATGTAGGGCTATCTTTCAGTATACTCCTGCAGAGTGCAGGGGGTTGGACTAGATGACCTGCAAGGTCCCTTCCAACTCTAATATTCTATGATTCTATGATTTTCTCAACTGGGAGGCAAAAGTGCAGCTCAAAACCACATTCAAATACCTCGGGGCAATGCTGTACTGACCGCAAAGTCACCCCTGAATGGCCATAAAATGGCCATAAATCTATGCAGAACGTACAGTAAAATCCAATGAGCAAAGAACTTGAAAGTGGGATGGAGTGTGGAAGCTACCATAAAACCCAATAATCAAAGGAGGTGAAACAAGCATGCAATGCAGAGGGGAATTTCTGTTCCAACATGGGTTTCATAAAACAATGGAGGGAAAAGCCAATGCAGAATCAGCCAAAGTAAATGCCAGTAGTGATGTTCTAGCAACTCCAGCTGAGCATGCACAATTACAGGGACTTTTCTATTCTGTTCTATGAATAGGTGTACTCATGGGGATTACCATTACATGTAGGTGCACCTATAGATAATATATTTCAGGAGGCATGTATTTTGAGTATAATTAATCTATATGGAATTATGGAGGCTGGGCTGGAGAAACAGCGACAGTAATTTTATCTAGTCACAGTAATTCTATGTGAAATAAAACAGATTGCTTTCATGAGTTTTTATGAGACAAATCGTGTATCTTAAAGTGATTTTATACCAGCCAGATGCTACTCTCAGGGCTGAAGATCAAAATGTAGGAGCTGGCAGAAGGTGTTTGTTTTCTTACTGCTTAAATCCTGTGACCATTTACTATAGGGACGAGGGGAAAGGAAACACATCTTAGTGTTCTACCACTGCAGTCTAGGAAAGCCCTAGATGTACTGAGCTAGAAGCAGATCTCACAATACTAAATTCAACAGACCTAGATTTGCCCTTGGAAACACTGAATGGAAGATAGTGAGTAGCAAACACTAAGAAGAGCCATCCTTAACATGGACTTCACATTTATATTTGTGTTCACATTAGAAAGTCCCTATCAATACATGTAGCATTGTACTTCAGAAAAAGGAGCTGGAGTCATTGCATAAATGTGATTTTCCTTATAGTGACAAGTTGGCATGATGAAATATATCCTCTTACTATAATTACACTGTTTTAAAAACCCCAAATTTGGTGACATCTCAGAGTTTGCTGTTATTCTCACTTTGTGTTAATTGGATACATTGGAGTTGGAGCCCATGGATCTCTTCCACTAGCAGAGGTGCTCTCCTCTGGCAGAAGGTGCCACTGCTAATGAAATGGAACCAACCCACCGCCATTCTCAGGCTGTTTTAAAGGTCTTTAAAAACCATTGTAGGGTAGTGTTGCCAGCCTACAAGTCGGACTTGGAGAGCTACCAGAATTACAACTAATCTCAAGAGTACATAGATAATTGCTCTGAAGCACATGGCTGCTCTGATGGGTGTATTCTATGGCATTGTACCACACCAAGGTCCCTTCCCTCCCCAAACCCCACCCTCCCTAGGCTTACTCCCAAATCTCCAGGAATTTCCCAGCCCAAACTTAGCAACCTTATTACAAAGGCAGCTGCAGAACAAGGGCTGTCAGATCTCACCTGGCTGCCAGCGAGGGGGGGGAGTCCCTCTCCATGCCCTGGTGTTTTCTATGGTAACCATATGGTTTTTCCTCAAATGATAGAGCGCCCCCTGCAACGTGCCCGGGTGATGTCATTGTGCCGGGCACGTTGGCATGGATGTGGCTCTTTGGGAGCAGGGTTCCCCCGCCAGTTGGCTCGGTGGCAGTGGATCAGGCCCCCCGAAAGCGGGTAAACCCCCGCCCCCTGTCAGGGGAATGGCAACCCTATGCAAAACCCCTGTTAGTATAGCACGATAGTGTCTACTCACAGCTGTGCACATCATGTAGCCCAAACCAAAATCAAAGCGGCACTGCTCATTCATTGAGTAATAAATTCCTGGCAGCTGAGGAGGGGAAGGCCAGTCATGGTCAAAAGGATCATCACGCAAACAATCGTAGGAACTGCAGTGAGCAAAAATTACAGCCACAGATGGGAATGTGAGACTTTTACAGTTTTGTAGATTCAGTTAATATTTATTCCAAGCAAAATAAAGGGCATATTTTCTCAGAAACTAGTTCCACAAAGCACAGTTAATAATACTTTCATTACAGAGAACAAGCTATCGCACTGTAACAGATCTGCAAATGAGAAAAGACAACATGCTCTTCATATGTTAAACCACTAAGTTAGAGGAAAGATAAGGGATCATAGTGACTACCTCAAACGAGCTATCTGAAAATAGTAGTAGAAGAAGAAAAATAAGTCACTAGAAATAGGGAGGAGGACAAAAACTTTAATTATGTTTCCATTTGTGGAATTTATGTCAATGATCTGTCAAAGCAGTCATCCAGGAATACTGCTTGCCAAGCTCCATAAATAAATGATTTTCTGTTAGTGTCCACAAGTAGTAAGTATACATACAAGCCCTATGCTCTCTTTAGTTTATTGCTCTCTTGAGCATGCTCGGGTTGGTTTCATTTTTATATTCGTTTGGCTGTCATATGCTCTACTGTTTTTTCACCTCATTAGAGTTTGCTCCTTGAATCTCAGAACCAGCAGACAACTCCCAGACCACAAAGAGCTTCTTAAGTCAAACTCAGTCATGACAAGGCAGAATTGTTGATGGTAGGCAGTTTTGTTGGATCAAAGGAGGTATGTTTGCCTCTTCTCCATAGAGCCGCATTTCCTTTGAGGGAGCTGATTACAGTCTGAGAATGATCTAGAACCCAATATTGCCCCTGAAATCTCAGGCAGAGAATGGAAAGTACTACTCTGTATGAGAAGAAGGAAAATAAATGCACGTGTATTCACCACACTTATGGTTGCCTCCAGGTGGTATATAACACGAAAATAGGACCACGGTATGTATAGATTAATTAACAAAACCGCAGCACCATGTATATAATTACTTATACAGTATGAATTCTTATTTTTTTAACACTAATTACAATCACTTATGTTTAATATTTTATTATAGTATTCCTTAGAATGTAAAGTCAATATAATGCAAAATAAGCAAATTCCACATTTTGCTCAGTAAGACCTGATGAAGGCTTCAGAAATGAGGCTACACCAGTTCTCATAGTCATCCCGCCTACCCAGCAGCTCGAAAGCTCGTTAAAGGGCAAGTAGACAAATGGGTACCTGCTCCTAGAGCGGGGGGGCACCCGTCCCTCGTGGCGTGGCGGCAGCGTGAGCGGCAGAGCAACGGCGGCGGCAGAGAGCATGGTGGCGGCTGGCAAGTCGAGCGGTGGGCAGAGGCTGGGCCGGCAAGCGCGGAGGCGGGGTGACGCAGCAGGCCGGAGCCTACTGGACAGATGCCAGCAGCGAGCATGTGCAGACGTGCGCGTGGCCCAGGCTCGAGGAAGTCGCAGGCAGCCGAGAGAAGACCTATGCCAGGAGGACATCGCCGCCGGACTAGGAAGATCTTCCACAGATAACAACAACGAAAGACGCGCTAGAGGGTGCCTGTTAGGCTAGTCACCTCCCCAATGTATGTGTGGCCCTAGGTAAGGATTGATTGTATTTGAATATGTGAACCGCCCAGAGCCCTTAGGGGGTGAGCGGTATACAAATTGAAGGATAAATAAATAAATAAATAAAAATCTTTAAAGCTTCTGTGTTGATTTATAGCCCTGTTGGGCATATGTTGTACAAATGATGCAATCTATTTTGATATAATTTGCATATCTTGTATTATATTCACTTTACATTCTAAGGAATATTATAATAAAATACTAAACATAAGCGATTGTAATTAGTGTTAAAAGAAATAGGAATTCATACTGTATACGTAATTATATAAACGGTGCTGAAGTTTTGTTAATTAAACTCCAGGTGGCAGCTGGAGATCTCTCCCGCTATTACAACTGGTTTTCAGGCGACAGGAGATCAGTTCACTTGGAGAAAATGGCCACTATGGAAGGTGAACTCTATGGGATTATACCCCATTGAAGTCCCTCTGTTCCCCAAACCCCATCCTCCTCAGGCTCCACCCCCACAAATCTCCAGGTATTTCCAATCCTGAGCTGGCAACCCTATACTATGCTCCACTTCCATATTTGTTTGAACTCTCTCTGTATCAACCTACCTATAGAGTGTAAATTGGTGCTCAGCTTCTTGAGGGCTGCAGCTCTGGGCTTCCCTGCTCTGGTACTGGTCACATATGGCCAGGAGTTCTATTTTTATAGCTTAAACTGGTGAGCCATTGGACTGCCCACCCTACTCTGAGGATATAGCCTTGCCACTATTATTCATACATTTATATCCTCCCATGTGTTCTAGATAGGGTTGATAGGTCTCCTCGCTGTCATGGTGGGGGGATCCGGGGGGCGTTCTGGGGGTGGAAAGTGATGTCATCATGTTGGTGACGTCAGGCATGACACTCTGGTTTTGGAGCAAAACTCTATGGTTTTTTGCCTTCGAAACCATAGATTTTGCCCCAAAACCAAAGTGTTGCCATGTGACGTCCCTGGAGTGATGATGTCACATCACTGTGTCCAGGCGTTTTATGACAACATCCCTGCTTTGTGGTGGGGTTTCCCCTGCCAACCAGCTGGCTGGTGGTAGATGAAAGCCCCCCAAAGTGGGGGAAACCCCGCTGGGACCTGGGGGCTGGCAACCCTAGTTCTAGCCTTGAAGATCACTGGGACCTACTTATGGACCTACTTATGGACACACCAAGACCACAGGGAACATCTAAAACCTGTGTTGCACTGCCCTGACCTGTCTGTACTGGCATCCTGTTAGGTACCAGGCCTAGTTCAAGGGATTGGTTATGATCTTTGCAGTGCAGTGAGAAAATGACTTCAATGGATTTAGAAGAGTGTAACACTGCTGAGGATTGCACTGCTTGACTCCAAAATGACCTAGGAGTGTCACACCTGTTGGGGCATCTCCTTTCCCTGTGAACCTCTCTATTCTTTAATGGCTGCCAGAGAAACCAGATTTTTATAGATTACCTTGAGTGCTTCTGAGTTGAAAGGTGATTAATTTTTTTTTTGGGAGGGGGGGAGAAGGAATAAATGAAGGAAAGAAATTTAGAACTTTTGTTGGGACTAGGAGCTAATTAGAAACCAGCACAGTTATTGAAGTCACACTGAATATTTTCCAAGTTCGCCATCACACTGAGGAGACAGATTGTGGCATTTAGCATCACCTGACATTTCATAACCATCTTCAAGGGCAGACCCCTGCAGAGTCTGTTACAATAGTCCGTTCTCAAAGTTATAAATGCACAAATGACAATTACAGGATTCAGAGTTACTTCCCATGGTGTCCACACTATACAACTATTTCAACTTCAAAAGATGGCATAATACATTTTTGTCAGCAATGAACTACATCTATTCATCAAAGGATTTTTTGGTCCTGTTGTTAAAAAAAAATAGGACAGATACTTTATTGGATAAGTTTAATCTTTTTAAAAAGACTCTGGATTTTTTTTAAAAAATAATTTATTCCTGATTATTTTCATATATTCTAGCTAGAATCTATACCTAAAATTATTATTTTAAGAGAACGGACACAAAATTTATATTGAAAAGTGAGAAAACAAAATTATTTGCAATGCTGCTGCTGTACAAACTGTTAGATACTGTAATTTATATACATAGTTTTGGCTTTTATCCCCTGAAAGTAATCCCCATATTTCTAGCAGGATTGTTTTATGTTTATATCCCAACTTCATACCTACTGAAATGATGATATATAAATGCTACTATCAAAGCTCCAATCCAGAATAGTAGATTCCATTTCATCATTCTACTCACTGAAGATATCGGTTCAGCTCCTGCTGGCTGCATCGAGACCAATGGAAGCGATGGAATGCAGCCTGGACCAGAGGAGCCATTATGCTTCCCATACGGACTTCATCCCCACACCTGTTCCCTTGGCCATCATGTTCCATGCCTAATCTAGAAGAAAACATGATAGAACAAAGCCTCTTGATGGGTTTTTCAAATGCTTTACCATTTTAGTATTCTCTCTCTTTTTCTACCAGTCATTAATTAGTATTTTCATTTTATTTGTTTATTGCTTATTCATTCTATATGTATGTCACTCTTCTTTTGAGAAACTCAAAACAGGGTACACAGGATTCCCAATGGTCTCTCACCCAAGTACCTACCAGGTCCTCACAGGACCAAAGCAGCAGGGGGACAGCCCTCTTCCCGGGGTCAGAAACCCCAGGGGTTCAATCGGCCTCAGCTACAACCCTACTGCCATAAGGGAAAAAACTACATAATGCTAAGCATATTTATGGAAACTTATTTCCCTGTACCAATGACATGTATGTACATGGGGTGTCCAGATTTTATGACATTTGCTGGAGCCAGTGAGAACCAGGGCGATTTCTCACTAGAGCTGCCTCGCAGCGCAGCCGCCATTTGCCTCGACATAAACATGTCAATTTCACACCCGAAGCTGCGGGGCTGCATTTTGACTCGCAGCTTCACCCGATTTCCGCCGCAGTTTCGTGATCCTGGTTTTTGAGGATCACGAAATTGCGGAGGAAATCGGGCGAAGCCGCAGGTCAAATGCAGCCCCACAGCCTCGGGTGTGAAATTTACATGTTTGTGTCGAGGCAAACGGCGGCTGCGCTGCAAGGCAGCTCTAGTGAGAAATCACCCCCAGTGTTAGAACAGACCCAGCAGACCAAGCACTGAGTTGCTAGTCCAGATAAGGCCCTTCTCTAGAGCAGAGAGTGTGCTTGTAAAGTCAAAAGGGGCTAGAATTTTAAGAGAGATGGAGAAATTTGTGCTTCTCTGTGTCACATGGTATCTCAAGAACTACTAGTCCTAGAGTTTCTTGTACATAGGTAGGAGGGATGAACAGCTAGTGGTAAAGATGGAACAATAGTATCCAGTGTTTGCTGGTAGAATTCACGGATTCAAAATATATGTGAGGACAGTGACCCTTTTCAAACTGTCTTTATATTCCATTTTAGTAACTGGTTGCTAATGGATTTTTTCTATCATTTCAGACAGACCCATTTTAGTAAGCAGCTGCTAGCAGAAATTATTTACCTGTTCATACAAACACGCCTGCATTGGGTTAGCAAAGCGTGAGTGAGCCACTTTTTTTTTTTAAGCCCCCCGAAGGGAATTTTTTTAATTGTATTTTTAATAATCACTACAAACTACAACAGAAATAAGGTAAGGGACTACATCTAGGGACAAAGTAAAGATACCCACTAGTAATTAAAAACCCAAGAGAGGAGATCTTCTAATCAGTTTACACAAACATCAAGTCTTAATCCGTTAATCCCATTACTAACTAAGTCAAATGGAACATTAGCTTTTTCAATTCTTAAATTTAACTGTCCTTAAGAAATACCCTAAAGCATCTCATTTCAAAGTTTTCCAAAGGCACAAATCAGAGTCCTTCAGCCTTCACTTCTCCTTGCCCCATCTCTTCCGCAACTTATAAGGACTTTTGGGGGCTGCTGCCCCTTTCTCTGAAAGAGAGTCCTCTCCGGAAGAACCTGAGTCCAGCTCGCCACTGGACTTACTGTCCTCCACTGGCCCTCCGAACTGGACTCTTAAAAATTCCTGAGCTTTCAGAACAGTGTCAATCTTTTCTTTTTTATCCTTCGGCTGGAGCGCAGCTTTACTCCCAGGAGGTCCGAGAGGTGAGTCTGCTCTAGCGTGCTGCCATCACCAGACTGGGTGAGCCACTTTTGAGGGAAACTGCTTTTTTCCATTTTCAACCCCTTTGTTTAGCTTCTGAATTGCTGTGGTATGCTGTTTAAAATGTCAATAGCGCTACAATGCTGCTTTCCCTGTGCCCTTTTTTTTTTTTGCCGTGCAATCTTCCTCAATTTTTTGTAATGTTCTAAGGTGAGTGCTATAGCACTAAACTGCTATAGTGCTGAAGTGCTATAGCAACACCACTGAATATGCATGGACTCCATTGAGTCAATGCATCTCAATGGTGCCACTATAGCACTCACCTTAGTTCATAAAAAAAAGTCTGAGGAAGATCGTGCAGCAAAAAAGGGCTGGGGAAAGTGGTACTGTTTAAAATGACCATAGGGCTTCAGAGAAGGCTCATTAATAGAAGGAAATTTGCTGTATGAAACCCCCATCCCTGTATCTCTTTATTCAAAATCAGGCCAACAACGAACAACCAGTGTAGAACAGTAATGTGCAAAGGGCCTATTTCTTACTTTCTTTTTAACACCCCTCCAACCATACTGTTTTTTCTAGCAATAAATACAAATCAGGCAGGCAAAAACATACATAAGACGAGCAAAAGGAATGAAAAGAAACTAAAGGCTCCACTCCTCCAGTTTTTCAAAACAGGCATAGCCTTTGTGTAGTTCAACCCAGGCAATACACTAAGAAGATGAAAATGTAGAGATTGCGCCTGCAGTTCTAAGAACACTTTCCTGGGAGTAAGCCGTATGGAATAAAAATAGACTTAGTTTTGAGCAAACCTGCTTAGGATCGTTCCCTGTGTTTCCAGAAAGGCTTTGAGATGCACCATGCAACTCCAGGCTACTGCTTTCAAAAGATAGGTACTATCACCATTAGCAACATCACATTCAGGAGAGAGTTAACAATATGCAGGCAAGACTAGTGCTCTAATATATGATCCATGCTTTTAGATTCCGGCTTGTGGCAAAAAATGTAAGTTTCTATCTTAAGCCTTACCTGGAAGCACTGGTATTCAGGCCTTTATTGCCTTTGGATGTAGAGGTTCTCCTTAGTAGCCAGTGATGGTCTCCATGAATCAGTTTTAAGGAGTTCTCTCTTTATCCATTTTCTCCACTCCACCCCAGGCATAATTCTATAAATCTCTGTCATACCCCACCCTTGTTGTCTGTTAACTCAGTTTTAAAGCTACCTACGTTAGTGTCCTCTCTATATCCCTCGGCAGTGAATCCCACAATTTAATTATTTGTGGGGGAAATAACTACTGCTTTTTGTCAGTTCTGAATCTTTTGCCCATCAACTTCATTCGTTGCCTCCAGGGTCTAATTTTTAAGCCACAAAAGGAGCCGTCCTCTTATCTTGTGACTGCTAAACTTACTCAGTTATTTTTGGTGAAGGATCTTGACAAAAGCTTTTGGGAAGTCCAAGTATATAATGTCTACCAGATCATCATCCACATACTTGTTAAACCTCTCAAAGACAGTTTGGCAGTTGAGCGCACAAGGAAATGCACAAGGGGGGGGAACACAACTGAATATGGATAAACTGTGTGAAGCAGCTTTCAGCATTACCCTTCTCCCTCCACCCTTATGATAATCACTATTATAATCAGAATACCAATATCAGGATCCACAGTGGAAGGAATGCCATGCAATACAGTAGAACCCTCTTTCCTCCTTAGTACGCCAACATCTCTATATAGCTTTCTCTCTGCACAATGAAGTACTCACCTGCAGAGTCTGAATTACTACTATTGAAGTGATTGGGAGGAGGGGGACTTAGTGCATGCAAGTGAAGCAAGCCAAAAGTTTCTCATCCGCCAATTGGCCCAGTGGAAGCAAGGATAAAGGAAAAATGGGTTGCACCCAGCAACGTGCCAACGGAACCAAAAGGGAAAAAATGCCTGGTGATAGTTGATTGATTTATTATTATATAAAGTCCCTTCATGTTTCACCATGCAAGCTTCCTCAGGGGGAATCAGAAAATTCACCGAATGCTCTGATTCCCCCTGATGAAGCCTGCACGATGAAACATGAAGGGACTTTATACAAAAACTGGGAAGAAGGCCCATTGCAGAGACAAATGCAACGAGCTCTAGCTGGGCTGTCGACTGCCAGCCCCCCCCCCACCGGGAGAAGGAGGGCGGCGGTGGCAGCATCCCGCAGGCCCAGCAGTGGGTAGAGCACAGCTGCTCCGCTGGCACCTGCATCCCAGCTCCCACCGCCGGGGTCAGACAGGAGGCGGGTCTTGGTGCGGCGGTGGGGCCGCATCAGGGAGGCCTCTTGGTGTGTTCGGCGGTGGCGCTGCTGGTAGTGGAGGGGTGCAGCGCGGAGCGGCATCAGAGCCGGCCCGGCTTGCCCGGACAACGACGACAGGGTTGCCTGTGGAGGGGCGGCCTCTTGCAGCAGCAGCATTTGCTGCCCTGCCGCTGCCTCAACCGTGGCATTTCTGAACATGTGTGGGCTCTTGCGCCTCTTCTCCGCCTCTTCCAGTGGTCCTGCTCACCCTTCGGCTGCCGGAGCGCCCGTCCTCTCAGCTGGCTCAGAGCACAGTGAGCCAGAGACGCTGCCAGCCGGCTCGCCACCTCTGTGGGAGGGACAGAGGCAAGGCAGCCAGCCAATGCAGCCATGGGATCCTTCAGAGTGGCAGATGCAAGAACAAAAGGCTGCAGGAGTGTGTGCAGGAGGGACACCAAAAACTCTTTTATACATAAGGAGAGAGAAATAAATCAGCTATCACCTGGCATTTTTCCCTTTTTGTTCCAGTGAAAGCAAGGCCATGAGGTAGGGGTATTCTGCAGTTGAAAACCCTGCACATGCAGACACCATACCTGCAGACCTATCTGTGTTCTCATTAGATGCTATCTTCAACTTGTGAAGCTAAAACACCAGAAAACTATGCAGGATACAGGTGTAAGAAAACAGGCGCTTGAATTCTGTGTATTTCATTGGCAGAAGGCAGTGAGGGTAGCCAGTTTGCTGATTTCCTCTCACTACAGACCTCCACTATGGACACACACACACACAAAGACACACACACACAATTCCTTGTGATCCTCTGACCACCACCACCAGACATGATTTGTGTGGGCACGGCTGACTGCAGGGAGAGATGAGCGATCAGAAAGTTCACTTCTGTAAGGGCTGCTCCACTCCTGCTAGATAGGGCCCAATCCTGGAAGCTTTGTTATTCTTGCCTTCTTAATCATAAATAATATCTGATTCACAATCTTGCTTGTATGTTGGAGTATCTTTGACAGAACAAAATACATTGAAAGTTGTTCTTAAAGGACACTAACCTTAACATAAAAATATGTTGTAGGTTCAGGAGCTTCAGTGCACCCATGCACCACTTGACTACAATAGTTTCCCCATACATTTCAGTGGAAGAAATCAGTCTGCAAATGACTTCCATTATTTATAGGCATTTGTTTCCTTGAATGAAATCGTGAAGTTTCCCTCACCATCATACAATGTAGCTAGATCAAGTTGATCAAAGTGTTACTTACACATGTCCAGTTTCATGGGCTACCACAAATGCTGAGGAGAAGCCATCTTCATGGTTGAGTGTGCAGCTTCGGACCGGATGACACATGCCAGTAACAGGAGCATAACCTATCAGGGAAAAGGTATGAATTAGGAAAACATAGGTTGCTTCCATACTGGGGATTATGGCTTATACCCTAAAAAGTAGCTACATGAAATCTTGCAGTACTTTCTAATCATGGTGCCTTAATTGTTTAACTTTATACCAAACATGACAATTTCTAGAAGGATTCAGGATTCTGAAAAATTAAATGATTACTTGCAGGTCTCATATATCAGTTAAGTCACTGATATAAGTGACTCGTGGCCACTTTTCACTACCTCAGGAAAAAAAACCCTAACAAACCCCCCCAAACCAAAGCCAGAAAAAACACCTGTTTAAAACATCTACACAGTATTGCATAATATCTCAGTAGTACCTAAACACTTCGACAGAGAGTCTGTCATGAGATAAATCATTGTCATAGTTTGGCTTCTTACTAAAATCTTCAAGAAAGTAGTCGAGTGGGAGGTGGGGTCTATGGCGCAACGATGGCGGATGCCTTTCCCGAGGCTCGGGGAGGGTGCTCCGCACAGCAGCGGAGGGGAGGGGTGCCGCTGGATCGGCGCCTCCACGGCGGGTCAGGGAGGCCCCCCAGGCCATAGGGCTTTTGAGGGTGAGCCTCTTTTCCTGCTATCTGCAGGGAAATTGAGGCTGTCCTCCGCCCTGATGGTCCTCCCCGCTGTCTGCATCCTCTTAGCGAGGCACAAGATGTGCCGACCCAGTCAAGCGCAGGAGATCTGGTGAAGGAGCGATTACGAAACAATGAACTGTGAGTTAAAATGAGCGAACCGTAAACAGAAGCGTAAATCCCCCCCCCGAAACCTTTTGAGCGATTGGAATCCTACTGAGAGGGATGCCTCTCGGATGAATTTGCATAAGAAGAGGAGGGAGGAGAGAGAGAGAGAGAGAGAGAGAGAGAGAGAATT